AAAACTATGTTTTCCTAGGCTTTTGTTCGAATAAATGATGATTTATTCGAATAAGAGGGACCTCTGCAGATTGCAGCTCGGTCTGTTTTAATCGAACAAATGCTTATTTTATTCGAATAAGTGTTGATTCCATTTTTTCCAGACTTTTGAAAACTATTCGAATAAATGGTTATTTATTCGAATAAGTAGCTTCCCAGAATTTCAGTTCACCCTGGTTTATTCGAATAAATCTTAGATTTATTCAAATAAGAACTGCGTTTTCTAAATTCCTGTTTTATCAAAACTATTCGAATAAATGGTGTTTTAGTCGAATAAATCGACAGTTTTCATAACTAACGGTCAGTTTTTTAAATTCCCGTGGAGGTTTCTTCGGCCCTATCCATATATACTCAATCTAGTTTCATTTTTCAAAATACAAGAACATCCAAGAACATTGACAATTGCTATCCTTTAAGAATTTCAAAGAGTTTTGTTGAATCATATCCTCTTACTCAATTAATTCAAGCATTTTCTTGAGCAATCCTTCATATTGAAGTTTGGAGAGTCATTTGTGCCATACACTATAGGTTTTGTTGTAATCTACAGCATATACGCTCTTGTTTGAAGAGTCAATTCCGCTGTGCACTTTGGTTTGTAAGTTTTTAAATTGTAAAAAAAAAAACTTGAATTTAAAATAATTCAAGTTTTGGATTGAAATCCAAAGTCTTGTGAAATCAAGACTTCGGTGGAAAGGTTAGAGGCTTGTGAAATCAAGTTCTCGAGTTGTATTCGGATTGTTAAACTCCGTTAAGTTTAACAAGGATTAGGCGAATCTCGGGCACGTTTGCCTTGGGGACTGGACGTAGGCATTAGGCCGAACCAGGATATATCGTTGTCTCCTCGCTTTCAGTGTTTCCGTTAATCTTGTATTTTTTTTCCCTGCGCTTTTTCTTCTTTAAACGAAAACTATTTTTATTTTCGTGAACACCTCTATTCACCCCCCCCCTCTAAAGGTGTGAAAGGCGTCTAACACGCACAAGAAGTGCTCAGCAAAATCTAGAAACTATGCTTGCTTGTTTCATCTCACAAGTGGAACCAAAGAATATTGAAGAAGCTCTAGCTGATTCTGATTGGATCAATGCAATTCCAGAAGAGCTCAACCAATTTTCCAGAAATAACGTCTGGAAACTTGTTCCCAGACCTACTCATCAACATGTCATTGGGACAAAGTGGGTCTTCCGGAACAAGATGGATGAAAACGGTGTTGTTATCCTTTGTTTTGGTTGCCAAAGGATATTGTCAAGAAGAAGGTATAGATTTTGATGAAACCTTCGCTCCAGTTGCTAGACTCGAAGCTATAAGGCTGTTTCTAGCCTTTGCTGCTCATAAGGATTTCAAAGTCTATCAAATGGATGTAAAAAGTGCATTTCTCAACAGAAACCTCGAAGAAGAAGTTTATGTGGAACAACCTCCAGGATTTGAGTTACACACTAAGGGAGATCAAGTGTATAGACTCAAAAAGGCGTTGTATGGACTCAAACAAGCTCCGAGAGCTTGGTATGACACATTGTCTCAATTTCTCATAAACAATGGATTTATCAAAGGAGTCATTGACAAGACATTGTTCAAACTACAAGACGGAGAAGATCTCCTGTTAGTCCAAATCTATGTGGACGACATCATATTTGGCTCAACTAAAGAAGATCTCTGCACCAAATTCTCAACCCTCATGCAAGGAAAATTTGAGATGAGCATGATGGGGGAACTCAACTACTTCCTTGGCCTTCAAATCAAACAGAGAAGTGAAGGGACTCTCATCAACCAAGCCAAGTACACAAGGGATCTTATCAAGAAATTCAAAGTTGACCAGAAGTCATCCGTCTCTGTCCCCATAAGTACATCCACCAAGCTTGATATGGATGTAGATGGAAAGGATGCAGATAAAACTCTCTACAGAGGAATTGTTGGATCTCTACTCTACCTTACTGCAAGCCGTCCGGATATCTCATATGCAGTAGGTGTTTGTGTCAGATTCCAGTCAAAGCCAAAGGAAAGTCATCTGATAGCAGCTAAAAGAATTCTTAGATACCTCAAAGGAACTCAGAACATGGGTTTGTGGTATGATAAGAGCAATTCGTTTGAGTTAGTGGGATACTCAGATTCTGACTTTGCCGGATGCAAAGTTGACCGGAAAAGTACATCTGGTACTTGTCAATTCATTGGTGGAAATCTTGTTTCTTGGTTCAGTAAGAAACAAAACTCCATTTCTAGATCTACAGCAGAAGCAGAGTACATTGCTGCTGGTAGTTGTTGTGCTCAAATTCTGTGGCTAAAGCAACAACTACTGAACTATGGAGTCAAGACAAAGGAAGTGACAATCTTTTGTGACAATCAAAGTGCTATAGCCATCTCACAAAATCCAGTGCATCATTCTCGCACTAAGCACATTGATATCAAGCATCACTTCATCAAAGATCATGTGGAAAAGAAAGATATCAAAATTGAGTATATCTCAACTGAAGAACAACTGGCGGATATCTTCACCAAACCACTAAGTGAAGCCAAGTTTTCTGATTTGCTTCACAAAATTGGTCTAATTCAATTAGACTGAGTGTGGTACACGTGGCAGTTCATTTTACACGTCTGTCAAAATGGTGGGTGGGGACGTGGCCTTGGGAACAGTTAAAAACCCAATCGCCACTAGCCGCATAAATCGCCCACATTAAACCCAATCGTCACTATAATCAGACCTCAACTGCCCACTCAGCCCACTCAAATCCTTCATCGTCTTCTTCACGAGAATCTTCTGATAAAATTCTCAAGAACCCTAATTTCTTCAGATCTTCTCAAATTTCCGAGAAAATGAAGATTGTTGGCGCTAATTTCCATTTCCAGAAGTTGGAAGCCAAGTGCTCCTCATCAACGTTCTATCAATCCTATCTGGAGATGATTGCTGCTCAAGAGCTCTCCGAATTTCTTCATATGGAGATTCGATTCAAGTATGAGAATGAAGTTCTTGAATTCTATAAAAATGGAAAGGTCAAGACTGTCAAATCGAAGAAGGACCCACAAAGGACGATTCAAGTCATCAATTCCACTGTTGGAGGGACAAAAGTGAAGCTTTCGCAGAAGAAATTGGGAGAAAAGCTTCACCTTCCCAATTCTGGAGTTGAAATTGGGAGACTTCCAGCCAAAAATCTGGATTGGAGCATTATTGGAATTTCTGGGCAAAATCCCTCTGGCCCAGCGAAGAAAGCTCATCTGAACAACGACTACAAGCTAGTCCTTGAACTGGCTATCGCATGCCTCGAATGTGGAAGTGGAGGACATGCTGATGACATCACCCAAGAGAGGGCCTTCATCATCAATGCCCTCATTACCAAGTCTAAGGTAAATTGGGCTGCTCATTTCTTCAATTCCATCTCAAAGCACCTGGGAAAACTCAACCAGAAATACCTTTGTCAAGGTCTGTACATTGGACATATCTTGGAGTCCTTGGGTGCTGCTTCTGAAGGAAAGAAGTATGAAGCCAGATATTGGCTGTACTATCTGTCTTCCAAAGGGGAAAACAGAGCTGGTGCTAGCACAACTGCAGAGGAAAGTTCTTCAGACAATGTCCTTATCATGAGTCTGAACAAATCAGTAAAGAGGAAGCAAGTGGTGTCTCCCTCTCCCAGTGATGAAGTACCACAGAATCTTGCTCCAATAAATCTTGAAGAAGAAGAAGAAATCTCTGACCAAGGAGAACTACAAAGGAAAAAGAAGAGGAAGATCACCTCTCCCTCAACATCTGGACATGTCAATCCGGATGAGTTGAAGGAGAAGGAACCAACTGAGGAAACCTCTGCTCACAACCGGAGTCCTCAACAACTTGAAGAAGAAATTCCTCAAGTTCAGAATTCTCCAACTTCCTCACAACCTCAAGTAGATGATGCTGAGAATCAATTCTGGCAGCTCTACTATGACTGGAGAGCTTGGAAAGTTGGAAATTCAGCAGAACAGTTGCTGAGTTGGGACCAGCAATTGAAGAATGAGAAGATCATCAAGAAATGCTTAGGTCTGCCAGTCAACTATTGCTGTGAGCAAATCCTGGATGTTGACTGGGTATGGCAAAGGAACTATGAAGATTTGCATCTGGAACACTTAGTCACCTCACCAATTTCAGAGTTTGAGGTGGATGATGAGGATCCTGCAGTATACAAACCAGTCCTCTCAAAAACCACAAAAGATCAGGTGGTTCTCACTTCTGAAGCACAAGCTAACTTGGAAACAACAGCTGAGGATTTCCAAATATTTCCGGAAGCCTCATCTGCCTTTGAAACTATTCCACCTGAAGCTGAAGTCTCTACACCAAAACAGAACCAGGAAGGATCAAATGAAGAATTCCAGCAACTTCTCCATTCTGAAGCTTTAGAGATTCTCACAAATCCTTGTGAGATCACCAATCCTACTGAAGCAGAGATCCCGGAGGAGTCAACAGAAAATCTGGAGATGTCCAAAACTCCAGAAACAAATGAAGCTCAAGAAGAGCAAGCTGTAGAAGCCCGGAGAAGTTCTGCAGAAGCTGGGAAGGAAACTCAAATGGCAGAACTGGAGGTCTCCAAATCTCCAGTAGCCATTTTTGAAGAACAGAATGAAGCAGAAGAAAGAGACTCCCTCTCTCGGGATATATCAAACTTCACACTTGGGGAAGCAGAAGAAGAATCTGAAAGAACCCTGAAGATCAATGATGAAGAAGATGTACAAGATGATGCTGAATCTCTTCCTATGCAACTCTTCCAAAGAACTCTCTCTTCTCATCAGGTAAACAACTTCCATTTCCATAGCTCTTCCATTCCTACTCTTCCGGATGAGGTACCGGAAATCTGGACAAAGAAGGTCCAAGGGTTGATTGACTCAGCCCTAGCATCTCAACATGCCTCCTTTAGGCAAGAGATAGAGCAGATGGAAGCCAGGCAAAACAAACTGATCGAGAAATCCGAAGAAACACATTGCTCCAATCTCAAGGAGATAAGCAAATCAGTGGATAAGACTCTAGAGATCTTATCTCTATTGAGTAACACTGTGAGCAACACGATGGAGACATATGCATCTGAAAGTTATCTTCAACTCAAGGAGGATAACAACATCAAAGAGCAAGTAGCAAATGTCACAATCAGTCTACAAAAACAAATGTCCATTCTCCAAATGGACATCAGAGCAGCTTTGGCAGTGTCTTCAGCAAATCAAGTAGTAACCAAAGACTACTTGAAGGTAATCATTGACAATCAGAAGGAAGCACACAAACTATTCAGACTTCTTACCACAAATTCTGGAAATCGCAAGATGGAAGTGGTTCTTCAACAACACAGTCCATCCTTGATTCCAGAGCTCTCCATTGCAGTCAAAGAAGGAGAAGTCTCTTACATTCCTACGCATCTAAACTTGACTGATCTAGTCCTTGAAGCTCAGAGAAGCAATCCGGAAAACTCAACACAACGCTTATCCAGCTCCGGATTGGATGGAACAGAGGCTGTAGGAACAATTGCTGCTCACTTCTCAAATGAAAATCAAACAGAGGAGAGACGGAACAACATGAGGCGCGTCAAAGAACTATGTGGAAACATGCAAGGCATCAGGGAGATTGCCGAATCTTCAAAGCGCAAGAAGCACTGAAGGCTTTTTTCATCAAATCAGGGGGAAAGTATGTGAAAACATTAATTTGCTTTGATGAAAACACCTTCTTATTTAAACATTGCTCTATTGGTTTAAACATTGCCTTAATGTTTCTCTTAATTGTGCTCACTATGCTTGATTATACCTATAACCTAATTCAAGTATGTTTTTGAGATTTATTCTTAGCGCATACATTCAGGGGGAATGTAATTCAGGGAGAACTTAACTAGTTTTTGGCTAACAATTGTTTTTGGCAATGAATTATTGATAAGCTCTAAGCAATGGAAGATGGATATCTCAGTTTTGGGACTAAAATTGGAAATCTCCGATTCAGGTACTTTACAAAATCTGTCTTCTTAAACTAAGCTTCAGTCCTTAATTCATTTCCAACAAGCTCTAAAAGTACTGGTCCTTAGGATGTTTAGAATGTACAGGACTTTGGAAAAATAGTACCACTTTTCTTTTAAAAATAAAATTCATATTTGTTTTGGTACTACCTCGTCCTAAGTAGAAATTAGAACTATAGGGAACGAAAAATGATAGCCTTATTTTGGGCCTTGAGAACCCAATAGGAATAATTTCCCTTTAGTACATAGCTTTCTTTTCTTTTTGTGCCACTCTTTTGGACTTAGCCAAATTAAAACAATTATGGTTCTCAAACCAAACGAAATTGACTTTCAAATTGGAACAGTTTCAATTCATTGGTAATTGGTAAAAGATTCCTTCCACTTTTCAACTTCTTGGAAGTTGAAACTCTTTCACTCTCACCGTTCCATCTACCCAATTAATGGAACCCGTGAACCTCCCCTCTCTCTACCTCCTCTCTTATTTAAATCAAGATATCTCAATCCATTCTGATCACAAACAGCTCTTTCAATATGAAAAGTCTTCAAACTCACTGTCTAAGAAACACACCAAGAAAAATATCCTCAATGGAAAAATTTTTCTTTCTCACCCTCATAGACGGCAATGGAAGAAGCCTATTGAGAAGAAAAGACTTTCAAAGTCTATGGTGAGAATCTCGGCAGTAGAGAAGGTCTATGGTGAAAATCTCGTATTTTTGAGGATTACACCATACACCTTCTCTGGAACAACACTCTCTCTATCTTTCTTCTTATTTTGAGAGATGTGTTGCTTCCAAGATCTTAAATATCCACTTTGGATATTAAAGATCTATCAAACGCAACGCCAACAGCTCAGCCAAGCAGAATCTGCTGAAGCTGAAAACGGTCAATGGCGGAAGACATCACAAAATCTCAAGACAAGACTTGGTTTAGGAATTATTGTAATTTGAATTGTATTTGTTTAAGAGTTTTTGTTAACAAGCTGTATATTATGAGAAACTAAAAGAAAGTTGCAAAATTAGTTCTCAGTACAGCGACCGGAACTCTTAAACACTTGTTTGTCATCATCAAAAAGGGGGGAAATTGTTGGGAAAAAAATATCATAGATTTTGATGATGATGTATTTAGAATGTAATAGGGACTTTAGGTCTCCCCAGATATTCAATGTAATTTTTAGAAATATTGTTAAAACCAAGTTCTTGAGATTTCCAATTAAGTTGTGATATTTCCTTAAATTGTTTGATGCCTGAAGACTTAATCAAATTCAAAATTTTGGAAACTGGATATCTTGATCGGAAATATCAGAGACAAGTAAGGATTTCTCAAAGCAGACAAAAATCCTCCTATCTGAATATTACATGAGAACCGGATGTCTCATTACAACCCGCTGAAGGCTAAGTCGGAAGACTAGCGCGGATTTC